TACTGAGAAGGATGAGACCAGCATTTTAAATACTTGAGGAGAATGAAAAAAACAAGCCAAAAACACTCTAGGTCTAGCAGGAATGCTTTGGAATGAGCTTATAACAACAGTTACTGGTGAATACTTTAGAAACATTAACAAGCCAGTACTCGGAGCTTGGGACAAAAAACAAATGAAGGATGTACTCTCCTTTCCTTGGTTAGCTGAAGTTTCATAATATTCAAACTCCACATCCCCAGCACATCAACTTACCAATTATAACATGTGGTTTCTTGGCTAAGGCCAGAGACTGAGACATCGTGTCAATTCCACCCACAATAACCGCTGCAGGACAAAGAGAGAGGAGTGAATCCCTCAGTGTAGCACCAGCCCTCCCCTGGCACTGCAGTGTTTACTCCAACTGCCCACCACCCACAGCAATTCTTTACAAATGAAAAGCTACTTATTTTTATGAGAATTTACTTTATTTTAGCCTATCTGAACTTCATAGGCTTCTTAAGCCATGCAATTAATTCCTTACTGGTCACAAGTATTTTATTTTCACATCTGCAGAGCTACAGGCAGAACCTATTCCTCGCAGTTTAAGTTGGCTGCAAAAAATCTAGGAATTCTAAAAATACCCACAAAGCTTTTTTTGAGAGATTACCTAAAGAGTCAATACCAACAGTCTAAAAGGAAGATTAAACTACATCACACCATAGGAGGGAGCTCTACGCAATTTCACTGGACACAAACCCACTATTGAGAACATCCTCTTCTACTTCCACCTTTAACTATTTAGATATAGAATGCAGAAGAGCTGTAGACCACTCCATAAGGAAAGATCATACAGTCTTTTTTTCTCAAACCTGATACCAGATCTCCGTCTTCCAGCAGCATAAGCTTTCCTCACATTTTGTTCAACCCCTCATACAAATCCTCTATTTTTATCTTTGCAATCTCAAGCTGACAAACTGGTCTTCAGAAAAACTAGTCCAATACCAGAAGAGCTACTTACTGGTTTGAACACCGATGGAGGACCCAAGAGCTTCAAACTGCTCTGAGATTTGAAAGGCCAGCTCCCTTGTTGGTGTGAGGACAAGAGCAAATAATCGCTGAGGTGTTTCCAGCAGTGCTTGAAGAATTGGCAAAGCAAAGGCTCCTGTTTTTCCAGAGCCAGTTTCTGCCAGTCCAATGACGTCTCTGCCTGCAAGGAGCAAGGGGACAAAAAAACCTATTATACATTCAGAATAAAGAAAGAAGACTTTAAAGCACTGTGCAACAAAACACAAGAATTCCCTAAAGACAGAAAAAAAGTCAGATACACAGAAGGCAAAAAAAAAAAAACCAAAACAAAAAAACCACAAAGGGCCAAACCAAAGAATTTCAGAATCTCTCTGAAGCATTTTTAGGCTGTGATTTTATTTTTACAATTATTACAGTCTCAATAGTCAATTTTCTAGTTAAACTTCTGTTAATATACAGGGTTTCATACAAAACTTAGGTTCAAAATAACTTGTACTTTATAAAGTCTCAAATCTGACATCAGTTTACAGCTTAATGACTCTATCTCACTATTCTACTCCAAATGTTGTCTGTTTACTGGCTTAAAAGGAAACAGACTGTGGTGTTTGCAACTTCAGTTATACAAACTATACAACAACAGCACTACCAAGCTCACATTTCACATGGCACAACTGTGCCATTGATTAACAGGGTAATATAAACCAGTTCCTTCAGTAGGAAAGGTAGACAGAAAGTCTTTTATCCCAAAACAATGCAGGCAACAGGGTGGAATTCATCAATAGAATCCATTATAACCTCCTAAGCTCATGTAGCTGAGAAGAACATGGTGTCAACATACCTTACACTGGAAACAATTTCTCAGGCATGCAGTCTTACCTTTGTGGTTTTCTTCCCCCCCAAGAGAATCTTATATGTTAATAAAAGAGTCTGACAAAAGTTAAGTGCTAGGACAGAGCAGACACGGAAAGTTTGTTCTCATTCTGTCACTATGTTGTTCCTTTCCTCCTTGAGACTGTTTTGGTGGGGGGTGTTTGTTTAAAAAAAAATTCTAGAGGCAGAAATGTCTGCTGAATTCAGTAATTATTTTTTTTCTGTAATTCCAGAATGCTTACAGAAAGTCACTGTGGTTTGGTTTATTACTCACGTGAAAAATCTAATTTCAAAGAGTTGCCTGCTCACAGCAAAGCAAATTATACACACCAAAGAGTCAGTCAAGGCATCTTCACTTTCAGTCACACAAACACGCTCTGTGGGTTTCTATCAGAAGCAGCACAGTCCAAACCCTACTGGAAACTTCCTGTGTATCCCTGAGTATTTCAGGAACAAAATGATCAATGTGGACTAGCAGTTCAAATGATTTATAAGAATTCTATTTAACATGGAGTGTCAGAACTATACAACAGGAGTGAACACTCATGGAACAATGCTTGTACCCAACTGAAAGTTGTGACTGCAGACAGTGTTATAGGATAAACTACTATTCCAAGCTCCACCTGGGAAGGGCAGAGAATGAATATGAAAACTACTTCTAGACAGAGATAGTCAACAATGAAGAAGTTGGGACACACTCATCCCTGATCCATCTCACTCTAGAAAATTCATTCACATAGAGCTCCTGGAGCAGGCCCCAGTTCAGGATCAGAGAAGTACAGTGCTCACCTTGGAGAGCCACTGGAATAGCCTCAATTTGGATCTTCGTTGGCACTTTCCATCCCAACTGGTCACAAGCTTCACACAGGACATCTGTCACTCCCTGGACATTAGTGACGAGAGAAAAGGGAAACACATATCACCAAAAACACCTATATTAAACCACAGAGTTAGATTAAATACATGATGCAACAGAGCCAACTTGTCTCTAGCATAGACAAACCGCCCGAGGACCCCAGTGCAACTCTCTGAAAGGGCAGGCTGCTCACAATGATGCCCACTTCTATCAGTAATTTCATCGGATTTGTTCACAATCTGTTAGAGATGACTGTCACAGGAAGAATATGGTCGGTTTTACCCTAGTTTACACAAGCAACTTCCCTCCTCACAGACATCTATCTCCTCACCTCAGGGGTGACCCGTGACCATAAAAAACAAAAAACACCGTGTCAAGTTACGACAGCTTGAAGGCAGCGGCGGCCGGGTGCGGAGCGGCGATGGGAGCAGCAATGCCAAGCCCAGCGGGGCAGCGGCCGAGTGCCCGCAGCTCCCGCCCGGCCCGGCACCGCCGCGGAGCGCCGCACGTGTCTGCCCCGCGGGCACACGGCAGCTCCCGGCCTCATCCGCGCGGGGCGAGCAGGACGCTGCTCCTCGGGACGGGGCAGCGAGCACCGGGGGCAGAAGCGGCTCCGGCCCAGCCTCACCAAGTCCTTGAAGCTCCGCGGCTGCTCCTCCGCCGCCGGCTCCTGCTCCGGCTCCGCCGCCGACCCTTCCTCCTCTCCTGCCGCCATCTTGGCCGTCCCCTCCCGGCGCAGCGCAGAGCACGCTGGGAGCTGTAGTTCTCTCTGGGTGCGACGGGATTTGTAGTTCCGGGGGCGAGCCAAGCGGAGCGGGGCGGGTGCGGCTCTCCCTCAGCTCCGAGAGGTGCCCAGGGAAGGGAGCTGCGGGTCTCCAGCGCCTGTCCCGGGACAAAGACACCCTGAACTGGCTGTGGGAAAGCCTGCCCGGTCTGCCCGCCCGTCTGCCCGCCCGTCTGCCCGCCCGTCTGCCCGCCCGGCGTAACCCCGAGAGGCCGCGCCTCAGGCCTGCACTCAGCGCTGCACCGCTTACGCAGTGCTTGATGCTGTTCCCAGTTCGTACCTTCTACAGCTGTGAAAGAACAGGCAAAATGAGCTGGCCAGGCACAATAAGACAAGAATATGTAGCAACTTACATTCATAATGCGTATAGAGAACAAATTAAGTGCGTCGGATATGTTGGTATGAAACATTTTGAAGCAGTAGTGATGGGAAGAGAGAAAAGAGCTGTCATTGTCCCCCGTTGTTTCCTGTTTATAATTGCTAGTATGCATTTTTGAAGTATGAATTATTAAATTTTTTACCCTCCCTCTCTGGGAAGTCTGTCTGGGCGTGCTCTCAGTGGAAATGCTGATACACTTCAGCATCTGTCCCTGGATTCCAAGCGTGGCATTTCCTCTGCGCCCAGAACAATGAGGAAAGTGAGAGGAAATACAAATGAACTCAAATACAAATGAACTCTCTGCGTGACAGGGAAAGAAAAGGAAACCTGAAACAATTCATGGGCAGGAGGAAAAATGAAACTGCTGCATCCCACTGTGCTCAGGAGCAATGGTCAAAACAAAAAAAAAACCAACCCCAAAATAAAAAAAAAAAAAACCAAAAACCACCCTGTGTAGATGCTCGTTGCTACCATATGTTTCAAAAATTATAGCAGTCTGAGCCATCAGCTTGCTGTTTATTGTGATTGCTAAAAGTTAAGCCTGGCCAGCACGTAGACATGAACCCCTGTAAGGGTCACTAGGATGCCTCAGGAAATGGAGTCAGGGATGTGACAGGAAGTCACTGCTTGTGATTCTTTACTGAACTCCTTGCCCACATAATATGGTGCTGTTTTAGTGGGGAGCAGGGTGGAGCAACTCTATTCTGGTGAAATCCCAGTTTGTGTAATTCCCTATTGTCAATAGATGTATTTGAATTAAAGTTTTCTCCTGTCCTAAACTGCTGTAGGGAGCATTCATGCGTGATAAAATAAATATACATCTTCTAGGTAGTAATTCCTTTCTTGTGCTTTTCAGCACAGGACACTGCAGATTATACTGGATTTAGAAATTATTACTCCAAGGCTTTGAAACCTGGCTTTAAACAAATATGCTCCTGGCTCTACTGCATGTTACAGTCCTTAGCAGGGGCAGGGTGACAGCATCCCCAGCAGATGAATTTTAGTGCAGATATACCAGCTATTTCATAAAGGGTGCATAATGAGATGAGATGAACAATGTGTACAATCACACCACCTCCAGGAGTGCAGAGACACTGACACAAAAGTGCTTCATATTCATTTATTCAAATCAGCAGTGTACTTGTTAATTTCTGTTCAAACAGACATGGGTATCAAAAGCATTTGAGTCTCACTCTGGAGAACCAGAGCTTTTATTGTTCCTACAACATATTAAAACAAATATTGATACGATGAAAAGAAGAGACAAGAAGGACAAGAATTCAAGCTTTGTGACATGGAGTACTGCCCTCCCTAAGAATTTGGTCAGTGTTACAGAATTACAGAGTAGGTTTTTCTGATCATTTGGATTTGTGCCTGCGCAGGGAAGTTTCCCTTATCCACTGGGACATGCTTGTGGAGGGAGTTACCTCTGCATTAACTCTTCTAGTTGCCTCAAGCTAGTTTCAGGGTCTCTTCCTTGTACCTCTTTCAGGTACTGACATGATCCCCATCATCACCATACCTGGGCACTTCTGAGTGGGATGATCCCAGACACATTCTTGTGAGGTAGGGAAATGCTACTATCCCCATTTTTAGACAGGGAACTGAGGTACTGATGGCTCAAAATCACAAAGGGCGTATTTAGCAGAACAGTCACTTGAAACCGGGCCCCAGTCCCTGCTCCTGCTTTGTAGGGGTTCTGCCACTGAATTATCCTACTCCTCTCTATCCCTCCTGAATATTAGTACCCGCATGTATTTCACTAACATGAAGCCTTCTGTGGGAAGCCTTTCTAGGAGTATGTGTAGCTTTCCATGAGTGCTGCCTCACCCCTCACAGATGATCCACTGTGGGTCTCACAGGCTGCTTGACTGCATGGAGAGTGGCACCTCCACCTCTCAGGTGTGCTCCTGTCACGGGGCTCCAGCTCAGACCAGTAACACAAATCTACCCTACCCTTCCCAGGAGATATAACTGCTTCCTTCCACCAATGCCCTGAGGCAGACTCAGCCACTCTTCTTCTCTCTGTTTTGGCTCCTAAAGTCTTTTGTCACTGTTTGGCTGTGTTTCACCTATTTTATTACTATCAGCATTCAGGTCATGCTTTCCTTTTCCTACAGGGATTTGCCCTCCCTCACAGCAAAATAACAGGTAACTTGCTCTCACATGCTACAGACTTGCTTTTACTCTAAAAAAACAGCAGTTTTCCTTTGGAACAGAGGCCTCCTTTCAAAAAAAAAAAAAAATATATACACACTCTTAAATACAATATCATAAGCTTAAAATCATTCTATGTAAATAAATAGAATACAAACATCACAGTTCTCAGTCTGGAGAGGTTTCTCCAAACAGATAAATTCTGGCCCTGCTATTTCACCCTCAGATGGGGAACTATCTGTACAGTCTGTCCTATCTGGAGCTGCTTCTTTCTACAGCCTTTCCAGATGTACCTTGGTAATGGGATTATACTCTACTGGAAATTGGCAGCTGCTGGCTTTTTTAGGGTACTCCAGCCCTTGTACCACACACAGATTCATAAGTTGTTTACAAACCAGGTTCAGTCAGCATCAGGTATTTCATCCGCCTCCTGACCTACTTATTTTTGCTGAGGAAGCAGAGCAGTGGAGATGGCTGGGGAAAAGGGGTCTGCAGAATGTCTGCCTCACAGCATCAGCACCACGAACTGTAAAACAACAGGTAGCAGTGCTAATGGTCGTAGTTAATAATGTCTCCAAACCCAGTTTTAATATGGGCCAAACGCTGTTTCAGCTGGATGGTCTCAGGATCTCAGCAGTGGTTTTAGCATCCAAGCTGAGTCTCCTCGTACATGGGGAAAGCTCTGTTCTGGACTCAAGAAGATCACAGACTTCATCCATTGCCCTGGTGCAGGTCTCGAGGTTGTCAGCCAGCTTCTGGATTTTGGCCTTCAGCACAGCCTGGCTTACTTTAGTGACCTCCTTTGTGTATTCGGGCACGAGGAAGCTGTGGGAGCCGCAGAAGACCATGAAGCAGACGGAGTTGTAGAGCGAGATGGATGCCCTCTTCTCTGACTGGCGCAGTGTAGGGTCGCCTGGGCCCTGCCCCCGGCGAAGGAACTCCAAGCAGCCGAGTATTTCCCTCATCTGTTTCCGACAAGTCATTGCAATTTCCTGCACCTTCTTCACCTCCCGGGAATTGCAGAGCACTGAGGAGAGGTCAGAAGTGATGCTGACGGCCCCCCCTGCCGTGGCCAGACCCAGACCCACGGCCGACGCCAGCAGAGAGGCTCCCAGCGTCGCCGGGCTCAGGGACAGCCCCAGGATGGCTGTGACTGCTCCGGCAGCGGTCAGGGTGCTCCCGCTGACATTGGCAATCAGGGACCTCTTGCGGAGCTTGTTGAGTTTCCGAGCTGCCTTGTGAAGGTGAGCAATTTGGCCACGCAGCCTCCGTCTCTGATCCAGCAGGGCTACGTGGAAGTGGTGCGTGGGGTCTGGTGTCAGCGGAAAGGCAGCACTGTTCCTCTCCATGGCTTCTGTCCAGAGAAAGAAAAGCCTGGGTTGGGATTTGTGTCAAAAAGCATCATGAGACATGCTCATCCTGGACCACCATTTCAGGGATGGCATACAGCCAAAATTTGTTGCTTCAACCCAGCGACAAGAAGAGTTTTCCATCTGCACACACGTGCACATTCACGTACACACACATACCCATATGAATGTGTACATTTAATTACATATTCCATTGTAACCTTCAGACAGTGAAACTTTAAAATGTTTTTCTGAATCCCTGCAAAGACTAAAATAGCCTAAGAACTGGGGTCAGAGGTGCTGTTACCATTATCTCTGTGAAAACAGAAAAGGTCTTTTGAAACCCTGGGGACAGAAATTCCCCTGAGATTAGGTGACTCAGTGCCCAGAAGAGCAATGCTGCCAGAACTAATCTGTTGTCCCCAGAACTAATCTGTAATCTGATGGGATTCAGAAAGACATCTTTCACAAGAAAGGTCAGACTCCAAGGAGGTGAAAGCCACCATCCCAGGTTTTTGTTTAGGGGTGATTTTCTATTAAAAGAGGACAGAGGGAAGCTGCTGAGTGGAGACTATGCCTGAATTTTCCATATAGGAGGTGAGGATCTTATTAATGCCTTGGACGGGTATTGTGAACATCCTTCCTTTCTTTAAACTTCAGCAACTCATGGGCCTGCAGCATTTTTTTTTCCTGTTGTAACCTGGTGTCAGTGTAAGAACAAAGATGGGAACTATCGTTCTGTGGTGCTTAGTCCAACCTGTGGTCATAAATACCCAGTTACAGTGGCAGGGAGGCCTCTGTAAACCTTTAAACCTTGTTTAAATGAATTGTGAAGAGCACATCAGAAAAGCAGGCCCATTTTTAGTGTGCCCTCCCTGGCAGTTGGGAAAACAGGGGAAATACAGAGGCCTGTGAATAGAAAAGGCTTGAAAACTGCTGGGTCTGGAAAACCTCCCCTGGCAAAATAGTAGGAGAGGCTTGGCTTCTAGAAGATGAATCTTCAGTGTTTCTGTGCTAGACAATCTCTGTTTGCTGTCTCTGTTCATTGTCACAAGTGCAGAAGGAAATGTTCCAATAAATATTTTCAGGTTGCTGTAGGGCTGCAAAATTCTCTACAAAGGAAGCCAGGAACTTCAATCCTGCTTACAGGGAAGCTGAGACAACAGAGCCAACAGGAGTGGTGTAGCTGATTGTCTGGTGGAAGCAGAGTTTCTGTGCTTCACAATACTGCATTGTGCAAACAGCTGTGCTGCCTCTGCACCTAGCAAGGTCCAGCCATGGAGCTGAGAAGCTGTTTGGAGCCCATAATGCCCTCACAGCCAAAAGGAGTCTCTGTAGCATAAAGACCCTGTCACTAAGACAAATGAGCAAAACTCTTCAGTGCTGCAGGTACCTTTTTACTTCTAAGTCTTCTGTACTGTGGGAACTGAAGGTGCCTGGTCCCTCATAAAGTCACACTATGTAGTTAGGATCCTTTGGGCTTCATTCTGCAGAATCCTCATGTTGCAGGAGAAAACTTTGTACCATAGTCTTTCCATCTGGAAGTGTATTCATAAGTAATTCTCACTGCAATCTTTCTCCCTTCTGCTGGCTTGTCCTAATTCACCTCACACCTTTAAGATGCCCCCCATGCCCTTCAGGAAATGTCCCCAGTCTCTCTTGGTGTTCTTAGGTAATTTGAATCACTTAGTACATTGTGCTTCTCTTAACTGGAGCCTGTGTCCTATTATTTTGACACTATAATTAGAAATAAAGCTGGAAGCACAAGGACTAACAAGTCTAAATGGATACCAGCATTGAAATGGACAATGAGCATATCACCCATAATTTAACAACGGATCAATATGATGATCATTAAATATGTCAATTCCTGTAGCCTCTTAACAATTTGTTCTGAAGATTTACTCACTGAGATCTGTCTCAGATAATAACAGCAACTATCTCACTGAATTATTAGAACTATTATTCATTGTATAGCATAGGCCATGTAGTGATGCAAATCTTTTCACATTGATCAATAACGGCAGAAAGGAAAAAAATCCAACTCCTGTTCTTAGGGGAAAATCTCCCCAACACTAAAGGTATACATTAGTCCAAAGCCTGCAAACACTTTCCTAATAGAGTACTCAGAGACACTAAAAAAATTATTGGTTCAAACTTACCTTCAGTTTCCAGCCACCCTCCCAGAAGAGAAATTTTGATCTGTTTCTGGAGGAGACCAATTTATAGCTCCTGTGGACCAATTGCTGCGATGGGAATGCTTTGCCTCATACTGGGAGTTTGCCATTTCCTGTTCTCCCTTGTGCAGAAGGATGTGACACACTGGAAAGTGACCTGTGGGACAGTGAGCACACATCATGTTCAGGAAATGATCGCTGCAAATGAACATTGTGTGTTCACTTTTCCTGAAGTGTAGGGTGGAAAAAAAGTTTAAAAATCGCAGCCTATTCCTGGCTCTGAGGTAGTGCAGATATTCCCTGCAGGGAGCAGTTGCCTTTCCTTTCCCTGAAATAGCAACTGACTTTACTCTGTGCTGGAGCTGCCAATTGTTTGATGACTTAAGTTTCCCTCCACTACACATCTAGAGCCAGGGGAGCTATCAGCCAGCCAACTACTCCATTCAAGGCCAGTGTACTTTTAAAATCCCAGCTCTTTGGGAAAATCCATAAAAGGGAAGCAGCCCCATAGCAAGATCATTGCTCTAAATTCCCATCCCTTCTCCTTCCCAGTACATAAAAACATGCTGCAAAAGGAGATATCACCCTGTGGTTTTACTCTGTTTCTTAACCATAGGCACCACAACAGTTGAGAAACAGGCCTCTTGTTTTCCTGAGGTGCCTGCCCAGCAATCAGTAATCAGAAAGAAAGGATAATTTGGATCTCTTGTTCTGCTGTTGCCTGGAAGTTGTTCCATACAGATGTGATCAGAGGGAAGAAGTGATGAAGGTGTTGGGTAGAAACAGCCTAAGTGCCACTCCTGGCACTGCCTTTCATGTTGAACTACAGCCAGTTTTAATCAAAGATTCTTTTGATGGGATCAGGAAAAAGAACTTTGATGGCACTCAGTGGTACTCCAAAGTGAAATGTGTCTTTATTGAGACAGGGCCTGTGGTCCTGGGGACACTTCTTTTGAGCTGTGCTTGAAGATGGGGCATATAGTTTCTTGTTGGGTGGATTTGTACTCTTCAGGACTGCTTGTTGAGAGGGAAGCTCTGCTTTTGCCCCTGACCTATCTAATTTGAAAGCTATCTAGCTGTCACTGAGTGTGAGGCTTTCCTGTTGAGTTTGTGGGATGCGTAGCCACACAATTGCTGAGCTGCCCTTAAAAAAGGCTGAGACTGAGAAGGAGAGGAGGAGGCTAGGATTATTCATTTCAACAGCAACTTAGTTTTAAATTATGTTAAAAAAGGTGTGAAATAGTATGCCAAATGTTTTTTCAGGGGTGGACCTACAGGAGATGAAATGTGAATGAAAAAATAAATTGCATGGGAGAGTTATTTCAACCAGTTACAGACATTAAAAGAGAAAACATTATTTTGAAGTAAAATATGCAATCCTGGTCTGTTACAATCTGTACATACTGCACGTTAACAGGAAGGTGAGCTTTGACACTGAAGGAAACTGTGCTTTAGCCCTTCCCTTTGTTTTAGCAAGCGTATGCTTGAACTGGAGCCCATCTGCCTTGGCAAGGGTTTGGAGTTGACAGAAAGTTCTTTTCTCACATTCCCAAATAGAATAGGGCACTTTTTTTTTCATGTGACTGCATCTGTGTTAGAATTTGTGCCTGCAGATAAGTCCTTGTTAGGACAGTGAGTTTTGGTAAAAATGAAATAAAGAAAAGAAAAAAAAAGGGTCAAGAATGAGCCTAAGATGATGACAGAGTTTTGGATGCTCTCCTTTTCCCAGTTGTCTTCTTTCAATATACTCAGCCACAAAATATTGTCAAAAACTCTTGTAATGCTCAGTCTGTGGGCAAGGACCTGATTAGGGTGCAGAAGAGATGATTCATTTTCCTTAGACTATTCCCTCACACACTTTCATGTCCACTGAAAGATCTGCACTTCACTCAAGATCAGATGTTGGTCTCAGCTGAGGATGGTTTCTCACAGGAATCATCCCTGGACTCCTTCACCATTTAAAGAGAATATTTCCCCATAATCCACCCCTTTAATAAGGTGCATACCCAGAAAGCATGGACTTCATGTGAGGAGCTACAGATGTCAATGTGATTTTAGAGATGTGTGTTATAAAAAAACCCCACTATTTCCTAGCAAGTGGCCCTACCACAGCATTTTGCTATTGGTTTTTGGCCTTGCTGACACTCTCAGAAACATCACTCTGGTGAGACTGCTGGTCTTCTTTCCCACTGATAATTAGAAAGACCAGCTCCAGCAAAGGTGAGCAGGTGGGACTGGGAGCTGGATGGGAGAAGAGTGTCTTCTCTCAGCACCTGCCAAGGACTGAAAGGCTTCTGGTGCCATTAGTGCACTTGCACAGATATAAGTACATCTGCTGAGTCACCAAGTAGGTTCCAGGAGCCTGCTTGGAGTGAATCTTAACTTATGAGGGATCTCCAGATGTGTGAAGTAGGTCTGACCTTCACCAGGCAGTTCTGCAAGCTGGTGGAGGCGTGACCATGCTGCGTGCTGTACACTGCTGCCTCTGTTGGTGACCTGAAAAGTGCTTGGGCTTGATGGTGGAAGGGGCACAGCAGGTGTTCACAATAACCCTGGCCAAAAATGCTTCGCCCTTTCCTGTCTAGCCACATCCTCTTGAAATGCCTGAGGGCACTCTGTGGGAGCAGGTGACCAGAAAAGAGAAGGAAGGATGTTTTATTGCCTCAGTTCTCTTCCTTTCAGGGGATTTTGGCAGAAAGGACTGTTTTTTATGCTCCTGGTCTCTCCAGCAGAAGGGATATATGGCAGAAATGTCTGATCTGAAGCTGTTAGCAGCTACTGTGATGTAACATTTGAATGCAAATGTGTAACATTTGAAGCTGGAGTTTCAAATAAATACTTCCTTGACTAACATTGTTTTGATCAAATAACTGAGAAAATTTGAGTAAATTTACACTTACATACCATCTTATACCATCTTTTTAACAGGAGATTTCTGCCATGCTTGGTACTTACAACCTTAACTACTAGACCCTGGAGCTAAAAACCGTCCTTTTTTTTTATTTTATTTTATTTTTCAGTTGTATCAAAGACAAATCTTAACTTTTCACAGCAAGATATTAATTCAGAATCAGTGGAAACTAGAATAGACCAAAACTAAAACAAAGCAAGCAAATTGGAACAAAAGGGCTGTATCAGCTATTAGTAACCTTACCAGCAGATCCAAATTAATTTTTTGAAAGCATTCCAGACTGTGACAGGCTGCTCTGGGCTCTGGTCATCGGTGTATGTGGGTCCTCAGCTGGGTTTGAAGAAAGCTGCAAAGAGCAGAGGAGGGCGGGGGGAACAGGAAAGCCTATGGGAAGAGAATACCTCTTGTTAGTTCCATTTAAGCAGAAAATTAGCCAAGCGCACTGACTGTGCCTGCTTTGTGAGCGAGCATTCATGTAACAAAAATACCATCCCAAATTGCCTTGTCAAAACACTGTTAGCAGCGTTTGCAGAGATTGAGTATTTATTTGGTTGCAGAGAATGAATTCCTGCAGTGCATTTGAACAGAGCAGCTTACGCTGCCATTTGCCAGCTTTAATGACATGTTTCAGTGCAGGCTGTGTGGCATAAGACTCTGATGCACAAAGGAGCAGCTCCTCACTCAGCCCGTGAACCTCCAGCCCTGGCCGTGGCACAGCTGATGTAATTCAGTGCAGCCACACGTGGGCTCTGCTGACACCAGCGTTGTTGGGGAATGCTTTTCTCTGCTCACCCTCTTAGCAGCGGCAGCAGCAGCACCACACCAGAGCAAGTCTGGCTACCCATCCCCTCCAGGACTATAGTAAATAGAGAATTGTTTAACATATTTTCAGAACCACAAAGAAACCTCTTTGGTTGGTAAAAAATAGAAATTAAGTAACCTGGTTTCTCGTGTCTCTTTTTCAATAGACTTCTTGATGGCTGAGTTCACAAGGCAAAATTTCTCTTGAAAGAAGGGAGTCTGGATTCTTCTCACCTACAAAATCTACTTATTTTTGTAAAACTTTCAAGAAGTCAGTGTCTTTGAAATCTTGACTGCTTTGTTAAATTATGTTTGAGATTGCCTAGGAACCTCAAAAGCTACTGTGTTATGTTAACTAACCCTCCAATTTGGCACAACAGAAACATGACAGGGACACAAAGGCCTGAAGAAGTCCAGGAAAAGTTAAAAGCTGTTACCTTGAACTTCAGATAAAGATGCATCTCACCTAACTTCATCCCTCTTTAGAGGTTCATACGCAGTCAGCAGTCAGTTTATTCACACTCTGAAGCTCCCTCTAGAGACAGGAGAAGAAAACTCATCTTCAAAAGCTCCTTCAGCCCATCTCTTCCAGGTACCTGCTCTATAATATGTGACAAATTATAGACAGCAATTCTTTATCCCTTTCCTCCCTCGTTAGATATCCCACAGGTTTGCTAGGTTTATGTTCCAATTTCAAGTATCCTGTCCCACAGTCCCTGCTCTGGGCCAGAGATGGTTCCTAACCCAGCCCTTGCTGTCCTGCAGTGTGAGCAGGAGATGCTGTTGTGGAAGACTGTGTGGCAGTGGTGCATCCCTGCCTGTCCCCTCTGATAGCAGGCCCTTCTCCCCCATAGATTTGTCCCCCTGCTAACACCAGCAAGAATTGGGAACATTTCTGAACTACAGAACACTTGCAGAAGAGGGATGGATCTCATCTAGATCCAAAGAGAAATGGGCATCTGGCTATGAGCATGCAGTGTGGCCTTCTGTACCTCCCAAATATTTGTCATACAGGTGCCACTGCTTGCATCCATACTTAATTCAGTATTCAGCAGGAGATAAATGGCTGTTGGGATGGCCTTTATGTCCATCATGAATCAAGTCTCTGTATTTGACAAACCTGCTTTGAAAAGTGTTTGTGAATGCTTTAAGGACAAATTGCATTCTTGATAAATTCTTAAAAATTGTGAATGACTCTCAGTTCTTCTATCTCCAAAACAGAGATGGGGTTACAGGTTTGGGAAGGTCATGGTAATATGAAATGCAGTGCAGTTAGGTGTTCACGTAGAAAAGTCATAAGGAAGGAAAGGAATAGGAGAAAGAGTTCAAGAAGAATTATTCTCAGTATGAGTACAAACAGTTGAACACTGGACCTTTGTTAGATTCTCTTTCTAGGACTTAATGCTATCTAGGTGGCTGCTCGGCTTTGTTCCCTAGAGTCAAATATCACAAAAGGGACATGCAATAATTGGAAAGCTATCCTGATTTTGAAATTTTTTTAGTTGGCTAGCAGGCACTAAGTTTGATTTGGATTACTGTATATTTTTGCAAGTAAATGGACATTTGTTACTGGTTATAATAATCTATACTTTCCACGCTGTCTGGGAAGTGCTCTAAGGGGCTTTCAGATCTGCTCTCTTGCAGTGCAAGCTGGCTCACATTGATAGCACCTGCAAAAACCAAATTGTTCTGTAGGATTTGCAGGCAGCTTCTTGCTACTCTAACAGAGATCTCTGTCCCTACTGACAGTGCATGCAGAGACTGAAAGCCTGGAATACCATTGAGATCCTGTTGTTCTTTATTTCACCTCTTCTAAGGTGAGGTAGCAAAGCTGGCTGGAATTGTGATCATAAATGCATAAGAGGGAGGAATTAAATGCACGATAAGTGAGATCTCTCTCATTGAGGATCCTTCCTATCTGTTCTTTTTTATGTCTGCATTGCAGGGAAATATGTACTACTACACGTATCTTAACTAAGTTTGACCATGACTAGAGTAATGATCTCTGGTGCATAACTTCAGGTTTTTGTGCTGCTAATCACACAAGAAACAGCAGGTTTTGGGTGAGGAGGGTGAACCATGAACCCCAGTCTTTGTATATTTACTATTCTGTGAGGAGATGCTGTATTCCTGTCTCCTTGTAGGTCTTGATTATTCTTATACTTCTGCATCCTTCCCCTAATAAAAATGACTTGACTGCTCATATATAAAATGGTCACAAGATTGTATAATCTTTGTAAAAATAAGGAAAGGGATAAGAACAGGATAAAAACAGAAGAGGAAAATCAAATAAGTAGGCACCCCCAAAATAATTATAAAATTTAGCCTAAAGTTGCTCAATTTAACATTTGATAGAGAATGGTGGAGACAAAAGTCGAGTGAGATGAGGATTACCACAATGTGTCACAGTGTTGCTGTGGTACATACTGAGAAGCTTTTCCTCTGGAGATGGTTGTTGTTGTGGTTGGCGCCACTATACAGGATACAGGCATACACTATACAGGCATACAGCTGTGTGCCAGCTGTGTGAGTAAATGAAAACAGTCTTGGAAATATAATGTTGCAAGCTGGAGGGAAGTGTGCAATTGTGATGCATTATTACTCTTGTAAAATAAGATTTGCAGAGAATGGGGGAGGTAGAAAGGCTTCTGTCCCAACACAGGTATTGGCATAGGTGATTGCAGAGTTGGTGAGTACAAAAACCTGTTTAGACACTGTAACACATTTAGTTTTTAAAGGACATCAAGGATTCTACCAGACTGTCATGGTTTGACACTGGCACAATGCCAGTGCCTCTCATGAAAATGCAATTTCTTAACTGAATGCTGTGAAATGCGATCGAGAGCAGAGCAAAGCAGGCTCAAGCTTAATAATAAGAAAAAGAACTTTATTAAATTATTACTACTATGCTACTAAAAAGGGGGGGGGGAAAGAAGAAAGAAACACACATAATTCAAAATGAAAACTTTTTAAAGCATTCTTTTTTCTACCATTCAACTCTAACAGTCTACAGTGAGAGACAATCTGGACTCCAATCAGGTTTTCACCTTCTAGATAATCAACACCCAGTTTATTTGCAGGGAGAGAGGAGTTTTTTTCGTGCCACAGACCCCCCAAGAAACACAGCTGCTACACTCTGTGCTTTTATGTTACCACATGGCACCGCCCGGAGAAAAAAGTTTGCCAGTGGTGACCCTCTCCTTTCCATGCACGGTGCTCTCACCACCAATGCATGGATGGACAGACTGCTTTTAGGATTTTTCCTTTCAAGGATGCCCTGCCAAGAGGGAAAAAACAACAGTTCAGTTTTCATTTTTGGGACCAACAGTCCCCCCCATTTTCCCCTGGGGCCGAGAATCTACGAACAGAAATCTTCTTTTCTTCTTCCTCTCTGAAGACAGGGGGCACCACTACAAACCTCCCTAACTTTTCTCTGTTCGCTCCACTTCTGTCTTTTCCCAGCTGAAGCAGGTTTTTTTGGCTCACTGGCATCCTCCTAAAATACAGTCTCTCTTGGAGGAGAAGATCAGTTCAATCTGTGGCTACCAAGAAAAAGTCCAGCTAAACAGCCACTCCATCATCTTCTCCTACCTAGAATTTTTCCTTCCAACATCCCAGGTCCCAGGCTGTCTCTCTTCCTCTCTTTTCAAACCAAGGAGGAGAAAAATTTTACAAAGCTTTCATTTTTCAGGAAGGGTTAAAAGTCCCGACTCCCAGAGATGGCTCACTGCCCAGGCTCCAGCTCCCACAGCCCGGCTGGGCACCTTGCGGCCCTCCCGCTCTTCTCCTTCCCCGCGGTGAACTGCTAGCAAAACCACCGCTGTCTCTTTTTTCTCTCTTGGGAGAGAGAGAGACTCTGGGGGGAATGGAGACATCCCAGATTTTGTCCACCCTTCCATCTGCAGGGGGCCAACCCGGGTTCCGGTCCCTCCACCCTTGGGCCTACTTCATGGCTTCTCCCCTCCCCCACCCAGCTCATCGCCGGGCAGGGGAGAGTCCTGCACTTACCGCTGACCGGAACCCAAGAGAGCGAGTTCTCCTGGGAATTCTGCTTTTAACTCCTCTGTGTTCTCAGAGGCGTGTCCACCTTCAATTGGTCAATGTCCAAATTGACTTCTTCCTTCCGGAAAAATTCTTTTTCCGTGTCAAACCACGACACTCCACCCTTCGCCTCTGAGAACACAGATTACAAAAATCATTACCAAAATTACATTCAACACACTTGTACATAAAACAGCATCATACACTAAAATCTCTACTCCAATTTACTTTTTTATCTAACACATGCTTTGCTTTTAATCTTCTTTGATTTTATCTCACAGCTTTCATTTTAGCAACATCTTATCTTTCGATGCCCGCATTCTCCACCAAAAATGTCATGGTTTGACACTGGCACAATGCCAGTGCCTCTCATGAAAATGCAATTTCTTAACTGAATGCTGTGAAATGCGATCGAGAGCAGAGCAAAGCAGGCTCAAGCTTAATAATAAGAAAAAGAACTTTATTAAATTACTACTACTATGCTACTAAAAAGGGGGGGGGGGGGGGAAAGAAGAAAGAAACACACATAATTCAAAATGAAAACCTTTTAAAGCATTCTTCTTTCTACCACCCAACTCCAACAGTCTACAGTGAGAGACAATCTGGACTCCAATCAGGTTTTCACCTTCCAGATAATCAACACCCAGTTTATCTGCAGGGAGAGAGGAGTCTTTCTCGTGCCACAGACCCCCCAAGAAACACAGCTGCTACACCCTGTGCTTCCATGTTACCACATGGCACCGCCCGGAGAAAAAAGTTTGCCAGTGGTGACCCTCTCCTTTCCATGCACGGTGCTCTCACCACCAATGCATGGATGGACAGACTGCTTTTAGGATTTTTCCTTTCAAGGATGCCCTGCCAAGAGGGAAAAAACAACAGTTCAGTTTTCATTTTTGGGACCAACAGTCCCCCCCATTTTCCCCTGGGGCCGAGAATCTACGAACAGAAATCTTCTTTTCTTCTTCCTCTCTGAAGACAGGGGGCACCACTACAAACCTCCCTAACTTTTCTCTGTTCGCTCCACTTCTGTCTTTTCCCAGCTGAAGCAGGTTTTTTTGGCTCACTGGCATCCTCCTAAAATACAGTCTCTCTTGAAAGAGAAGATCAGTTCAATCTGTGGCTACCAAGAAAAAGTCCAGCTAAACAGCCACTCCATCATCTTCTCCTACCTAGAATTTTTCCTTCCAACATCCCAGGTCCCAGGCTGTCTCTCTTCCTCTCTTTTCAAACCAAGGAGGAGAAAAATTTTACAAAGCTTTCATTTTTCAGGAAGGGTTAAAAGTCCCGACTCCCAGAGATGGCTCGCTACCCAGGCTCCAGCTCCCACAGCCCGGCTGGGCACCTTGCGGCCCTCCCGCTCTTCTCCTTCCCCGCGGTGAACTGCTAGCAAAACCACCGCTGTCTCTTTTTTCTCTCTTGGGAGAGAGAGAGACTCTGGGGGGAATGGAGACATCCCAGATTTTGTCCACCCTTCCATCTGCAGGGGGCCAACCCGGGTTCCGGTCCCTCCACCCTTGGGCCTACTTCATGGCTTCTCCCCTCCCCCACCCAGCTCATCGCCGGGCAGGGGAGAGTCCTGCACTTACCGCTGACCGGAACCCAAGAGAGCGAGTTCTCCTGGGAATTCTGCTTTTAACTCCTCTGTGTTCTCAAAAGCGTGTCCACCTTCAATTGGTCAATGTCCAAATTGACTTCTTCCTTCCGGAAAAATTCTTTTTCCGTGTCAAACCACGACACAGACCTAGATGGGACAGAGCAAACACACAGTCACCTGATTGCAGGAAACTTTAGGGGATGTCAACAATTTCACTATTCAGTTCTTTATGCCCCCTATTACTACATGGAGTAAATGTTATACAGTCAAATTCTCTTGCTTTGTAAAATTTCCAGAGAACCTTAGTCTATAAGCCATCCCACTTCAAACATGATTTGAAAGCCCAAATCCAGATTTGCTGAATTTGCCGTCTTATTGGCACTCTGCCTCATCATAACATCATAATTCCTCAGCTAGGGGACCTCAATGGCCAGAAGGACTTAGAAAGAGAAATAAATGCAAGAAAAATGTGTTTATTTTCCTAAAGTATTTTTTACCATAATTATGCAAGAAAATGTCAAAGCGCCAATAAGAGGGGTTTTTAAAATCAGACTGTGTGAATTAATTGAAGATGAAGAGTCTTCCAAAATCTTCAAGAGGTTCATTTTACTGTTCTCTGGTGGAATGAAATAAAGAAGTGAGGTGATATTTTTCCACTCACAGATTTTTCATCTTGTTGAAAAAGGGAAGTTAATCATAACTGGTCAGCATCATACCTAAACTATTCAAGTGCAGTTTGTTTACATGAGGTGCAGCAATTTGACCATGCTATATTATTGACGGCCATTAAATTTCAAGGTAAATGAATTAGGAACTCCTGACAGAGACACAAAACTATACTCAAAGTTGTAGCTGGCAAGAATATATGCATGCTAATGGGGTAGTCACCAGAACGTGCATAAAGAGCTTTGCCTCACTTCGTGCTGCAGCCAAAGCTTTTATGTACAGAAACTGCTGTGACATGATCTGTAACATGGAAAAAGAGCAGTGAGCAAAAATTGTGGCTTTTCTTTCCAGCTTCAGATCAAAATATGAATGGTGCTCTGACATCTCCTGCAGATTCAAGATCTGTGCATTTTTTCCCCCGTCAATGTTAATGAATCACATGAATGAATTTTACAGATTTAGCACTGTGTGCTTCATTTAGACTGTGATCTGTTTCTGTGCATCAGACACATGAAGCTCTGTGGTCTAACACAAACTTTTTAATCTTTGGTTGTTCAGGCCCCAAATTATTCCACTGATATTGCAGAGCCTTTCACTAAGTTAACAACAGGAAAGTGTTTCAAAGAGGGTAGCCCATTCTGAGGGGGATAAAGAATATGCTGTCTCATACTTCATGCATAGAAGTGTGGAACATGTGGAAACTTTATGTTTGGAAGTAAAGGAAAAAAAATATGCCTGAGTGTTTCATCATAGCCAGAGGTATAAATCTCGGTAGGAGAAATGGCAGCACCCTCTTTGAAGCCGTTTTATTTTAAAGAATGAGAGTCTGTTTGTTTTCTTAGCTAAGGTAAAAAGGACCGTCTGAAGATTAATACTGAGTTTTCTGACTCACGTTCACTTTAAAGCAGAATTTCTAATTTAAGAAGAAAAACAGGACTTCCGCATTCTCGAGGTCCGTTTGCTGGCAGGACTCGGGATTTTTTTGTCCCCTAGCTACTCAAATCCAACTCTTCGCGACAAGACATCAACAGGCGAAAAACAGCCGCACCCGCGGCCTTGCAGATGTAGAAAAAGGACGATTTCGTGACAGATAAAGTAGAATAAATCCATTCTATTTCACCTGAAGAAACACAAGGCGGAGGGCGGGGCACCAGGCGGCGGCGGGGCCGGGCGGGGCCGGGCGGGGCCAGGCGGGGCCAAGCAGCGCAACAAACCGGGGGCGCGGCGGGGCGGCCCCGCCCGGTGCTCCCCGTTACACCGCATTGCCCGAGACCGCCCCGGCCGCCGCCGCCAAGAAGCCGAAGAAGGCGGCGAGCGGCTCCAAAGCCCGCAAGCCCGCGGGGCCCAGCGTCACCGAGCTGATCACCAAGGCCGTGTCCGCCTCCAAGGAGCGCAAGGGGCTCTCCCTCGCCGCGCTCAAGAAGGCGCTGGCCGCCGGCGGCTACGATGTGGAGAAGAACAACAGCCGCATCAAGCTGGGGCTCAAGAGCCTCGTCAGCAAGGGCACCCTGGTGCAGACCAGAGGTATAGATGCGTCTGGCTCTTTCCCACTCAGCAAGAAACCCGGAGAAGCAAAAGAAAAGGCTCTTAAGAAAAAACAAAACAAAAAACAAACAAACAAAAAAACAAACCAAACCAAACCAAAACAAAAAAACCAAAAAAACCCCAAAACAAAACAAAAAAAACCCAACCAGTTATCAAGCCCAGGAAGCTGGCGGCTAAGAAGCCTGCCAGCGCTACCAAGAAGGCAATGACAGCAAAGCAGAGCACTAAGAAAGTTAAGCCTGCAGCCAAGAGTCCCAAGGTGACAAAGACCGCAGGAAAGCGGTGGCAGCAGTGAAGAGCCCGGCTGAGGTGGAGGTGATGAAACCCAAGGTAGCCAAACCGAAAGCGGCTAAGGCAAAGAAGGCAGCGCCCAAGAAGATAACCCCATAGTTATATATATATATATGGAAATTGTCGTTTCGCAAATAAATTCGACGGCTCTTTTAAGAGCCATCAACATTTTCGTAAACGGGCTGAAATGCTGTGGCTGCCACCGTTTTCGGGAGGGGTGAGGGGTAACAGCAGTCTGCTGGTGAATGTACTCTTTGAGTCCCGGAACAGCTCGACGGGCACTTGAAATGGTAGGGGAAAGGTAGCAGCGCCTTGGTAACTTTCAAAATGCCTACAAGGCGCAGGGATTGGTTGCCGAAGGACCGACCCGCTTCCTGGGACTGCTGTCAGCCCCACCCTTGAGGGAAGTATGCCAGCGTGGGGCTGGTGCTACATACACGGAACTGCGTCAGGCTCTGACAGTTAAACACCCGAAAAAAGCATTTCAAAACCTCCCATGGGCTGTCACCATTGTAATGAGATTCAAGCTCTTTCTCGGAATTTGTAGGTGGCTCTTAAAAGAGCCTTTGGGTTTCTCACGGTTTAACTTCACAGCCTTTGTTCTTCAGCGCTCACTTGGCTTTAGCCTTGTGGCTGTCGGTCTTCTTGGGCAGCAGCACGGCCTGGATGTTGGGCAGCACGCCGCCCTGCGCGATCGTCACCTTGCCCAGCAGCTTGTTGAGCTCCTCGTCGTTGCGGATGGCGAGCTGCAGGTGGCGGGGGATGATGCGCGTCTTCTTGTTGTCGCGGGCCGCGTTGCCCGCCAGCTCCAGGATCTCGGCCGTCAGGTACTCCAGCACGGCCGCCAGGTACACCGGCGCGCCGGCGCCCACGCGCTCCGCGTAGTTGCCCTTGCGCAGCAGCCGGTGCACGCGGCCCACGGGGAACTGCAGCCCGGCCCGCGACGAGCGCGACTTGGCCTTGGCGCGCGCCTTGCCGCCCTGCTTCCCCCGCCCGGACATGACTGCAACCGAAAAACTGACGTCTAACGGCAACAGTGATAAATTCAAGTTCCGAGCTCGGCCTTATATACCGCTTCAGCGGAAGGCGCGACTTTCGATTGGCTAACACAAGGATGTGCCTAAAACAGCCAATAGGTACGCGGATCCAGATTTGACCAATGGTGATGAAGGGTGTAGCGCTATCACTGCAAAAACTTGCCTCAGCCAATAATTACTTAGGCTGCCTGAAACCCTAATTTGCATAACCGCCCTATAAATACAGGCACTCAGAAGGGCAGGTCGTTCGTTCTCCGTCTGAGACGTCCCTAGTGCAGCTCTAGTGGGAGGATTCGCGATCATGCCCGAGCCGGCCAAGTCCGCCCCCGCGCCCAAGAAGGGCTCCAAGAAGGCGGTGACCAAGACGCAGAAGAAGGGCGACAAGAAACGGCGCAAGAGCCGCAAGGAGAGCTACTCCATCTACGTGTACAAGGTGCTGAAGCAGGTGCACCCCGACACGGGCATCTCGTCCAAGGCCATGGGCATCATGAACTCCTTCGTCAACGACATCTTCGAGCGCATCGCGGGTGAGGCGTCGCGCCTGGCGCACTACAACAAGCGCTCCACCATCACCTCGCGGGAGATCCAGACGGCCGTGCGCCTGCTGCTGCCCGGCGAGCTGGCCAAGCACGCCGTGTCCGAGGGCACCAAGGCTGTCACCAAGTACACCAGCTCCAAGTAGACGGTTTCTGCCTCCGTTGTCCGATATTTTCAACCCAAAGGCTCTTTTAAGAGCCACCCACCTTCTCAGTAAAAGAGCTGGTCCTGTGGCAATTTCCTGCCTGTCATTGTTTTTTTTTGGTTGGTGATTTTTTTTTTTTTTTTCTTTTTGTCGAGCTGAGTGTAGTGAGTGCAGTTGCGGTGTAAAAGCATCAAAGATTAAAAGGAAAGTAGTATTGGCGGTGTTTGCAGTAAACTTAGGCTATGTCCTGCACGTGATTCAACGGATCCGAGGACGTTCATAATTCCCTTAAAAAGCCCTAGGAGTTCGTTTTGGTGTATGTACACTGTGGGGACGGCGGGTTAGATAAATAAATGCTGTCGGCGGTTTCCCAATTAAAACAGCCGAAGCAAATTCCCGACGGCTGGTACATGGTACTGCTCTACTGACGAGTATTAAAAGAAGACGGTGTAAACCGGGAGCACTGACAGCTGCTGTCAGACCACCTGGTGCTCTTGTTGCTTGCTCTTTTGATTTAGAAAACGTACTTCAAGGTGGATGCCCACTCCCCGGCCCTGCAATGTGCGTTGTCGCGGGTTACAAGGGAAAGCAAAGCAGAACGCGTTCTCGCCCCGCCCTGCTCAGTCCCCGCACAGGTAGCGCCAAGCACAGGCTCCCCAGCGTAGCTTTTTCCCGGCTTTCGTCCGCCCCCCGCCGTTTCCCCGCGCCCCGTACCCGCCGCTGCCGGGCCGCGGACGGGGCAAGAGGCGGGCGGGCAGAGCCGGGGCCGCGCCACTGCCGCGCTCGGTCCGACCTGAGTGAAGACTGCGCGGAGCCTCCCCGCGGGCGGGCCCGGCCGCTCCCGCCCCTCCCGGCACGGCGCTGATTGGCGGCGCTCGCGGCTCGCAGCCCCGAGCTCGCGCTTCCCCGGGCCGCGCTCCCGGCAAGGGACGCGGCGCTTCCAGCGGGCCGGGGCGGCAGCCGGGAGAGCTCGGCGGGGCCAGGGAAGTCGGCTGCCGCCTGCGCCTTCAGCCTTTCTGCCGCGGCCCTGATACGAATGCTGCTACTGAGCGGGAAAAAACCGCGAGCCCCCGGGGAAGGAGGCGGCTGCCGACGGCAGCTTTAGCCAGCGCTTCCGGGGCCGGCAATGAACGCGAGCGGAGCGGCGTCAGAAAAAACAGGGCGAGCTCTAGGTTCGGGCAGCGGCAACGTTCTACACCGCTCGGCTGCGGTGCCGCCGCCGCCCCGGTGCGCCTTGCAAGGCGCGGTTGGAAGGAGGCGGATGCGGGGGCGAGGCCAAGGCGCGATTCCCGCCCCGGAGGCGGGGCTTTTCCGGGGGGTCGTGAAAAGCGCCCAATGGCAGCCGGCCGGAGTTGCGCGGGCGCGGGGCCGGGGCTATAAATAGCGGGGCGGCGGAGCGGCGGGCTCAGTGTGCGGTGCGCTGCGCGTGAGGGGCTGTGTGCTGGTGCTGGGCCATGGCGCGCACGAAGCAGACGGCGCGGAAGTCGACGGGCGGCAAGGCGCCCCGCAAGCAGCTGGCCACCAAGGCTGCCCGCAAGAGCGCGCCGGCCACGGGCGGCGTCAAGAAGCCGCACCGCTACCGGCCCGGCACGGTGGCGCTGCGCGAGATCCGGCGCTACCAGAAGTCCACGGAGCTGCTGATCCGCAAGCTGCCCTTCCAGCGGCTGGTGCGCGAGATCGCGCAGGACTTCAAGACCGACCTGCGCTTCCAGAGCTCGGCCGTCATGGCGCTGCAGGAGGCCAGCGAGGCCTACCTGGTGGGGCTCTTCGAGGACACCAACCTGTGCGCCATCCACGCCAAGCGCGTCACCATCATGCCCAAGGACATCCAGTTGGCCCGCCGCATCCGCGGTGAGCGCGCCTGAGTCTCCTGCTTAGCTAACACAGACCCAAAGGCTCTTTTAAGAGCCACTACATGCACAATTAACAGAGCTGTGGCACTGTTCCGATATGTGTGATGGCAAAGTATTTAGTCATAAAACCTGCTCACGTCATAAAGGCCTTGAAGGCAGTACATGCAATGTTCATTATACAGGCGTGTATTTACTATAGCTTAGATTAAAAGAACCAACCATACACCTTGAATTTATTGCTCGAGCCCAATGCTCTGTAAGTGGATAACAAATGCCACAGCTCTTTTAATTGTGCAGTTAGTGGCTCTTAAAAGAGCCTTTGGGTCTGCATGGGTTGCCTCAATACCCGGCCAGTAAGGACTGCGACAGAGAACTCAGGCGCGCTCGCCGCGGATGCGGCGGGCCAGCTGGATGTCCTTGGGCATGATGGTGACGCGCTTGGCGTGGATGGCGCACAGGTTGGTGTCCTCGAAGAGCCCCACCAGGTAGGCCTCGCTGGCCTCCTGCAGCGCCATGACGGCCGAGCTCTGGAAGCGCAGGTCGGTCTTGAAGTCCTGCGCGATCTCGCGCACCAGCCGCTGGAAGGGCAGCTTGCGGATCAGCAGCTCCGTGGACTTCTGGTAGCGCCGGATCTCGCGCAGCGCCACCGTGCCGGGCCGGTAGCGGTGCGGCTTCTTGACGCCGCCCGTGGCCGGCGCGCTCTTGCGGGCAGCCTTGGTGGCCAGCTGCTTGCGGGGCGCCTTGCCGCCCGTCGACTTCCGCGCCGTCTGCTTCGTGCGCGCCATGGCCCAGCACCAGCACACAGCCCCTCACGCGCAGCGCACCGCACACTGAGCCCGCCGCTCCGCCGCCCCGCTATTTATAGCCCCGGCCCCGCGCCCGCGCAACTCCGGCCGGCTGCCATTGGGCGCTTTTCACGACCCCCCGGAAAAGCCCCGCCTCCGGGGCGGGAATCGCGCCTTGGCCTCGCCCCCGCATCCGCCTCCTTCCAACAGCGCCCTGCAAGGAGCACCGGGGCGGCGGCGGCACCGGAGCCGCGTGGTGTAGAACGGTGCCGCTGCCCGAACCTAGAGCTCGCCCTGTTTTTTCCGACGCCGCTCCGCTCGCGTTCATTGCCGGCCCCGGAAGCGCTGGCTAAAGCTGCCGTCGGCAGCCGCCTCCTTCCCCGGGGGCTCGCGGTTTCTTCCCTCTCAGTAGCAGCGTTCGTTTCAGGGCCGCGGCAGAAAGGCTGAAGGCACAGGCGGCAGCCGACTTCCCTGGCCCCGCCGAGCTCTCCCGGCTGCCGCCCCGGCCCGCTGGAAGCGCCGCGTCCCCTGCCGGGAGCGCGGCCCGGGGAAGCGCGAGGTCGGTGCTGCGAGCCGCGAGCGCCGCCAATCAGCGCCGCGCCGGGAGGGGCGGGAGCGGCCGGGCCCGCCCGCGGGGAGGCTCCGCGCAGTCCTCACTCAGGTCGGACCGAGCGCGGCAGCGGCGCGGCCCCGGCTCTGCCCGCCCGCCTCTTGCCCCGTCCGCGGCCCGGCAGCGGCGGGTACGGGGCGCGGGGAAACGGCGGGGGGCGGACGAAAGCCGGGAAAAAGCTACACTGGGGAGCCTGTGCCAGCTGGCAGTGCCCATGCAGGACTGTGCAGTTTGGGGGCGAAAGCGCTCACTGATGGGAGGGAAAGAGGATAGGCGTTCATCTCGAAGCCTTTTGCTCAAAAACAAAATAACTGAAAGACAAGACCACAGGGCTGTCTGGAACTGCGTGTGCTTTGAATTCTTCCCATCCACACTGGCATCCGTTCACGGAGCTCAGCAGGGAAGCACCACGTACTAGCAGTCAGGAACAGATTTGTTTCAGTAGTTTTGGGACCACTGACTCCATTCGTTTGTCTAACTCACCGCCCCCTAACCGTGCATGTACCAAAAGCCTGCCCCCAGCGTTTTTCAAACGAATTATGGACGTTCACTTCTCCATTGAAGGAGATGTAGAGCACATCCTTTCACCTCAAACAATACACATCCCACTTTCCTTATCATTTACAATGCTTCCACAGCATTACCTCTGTTACCCGAAAAAAAACCCAAACGGGACAGCAAAGTACAGATCACCATAGCATCAGCTCTTTTATTGAAAAGATGGTCCAGGGCGCAGAAGCAGCTTACATGGATCTGGTGTATTTGGTGAGAGCCTTGATGTCCTCAGAGATGGATGTTGCTTTCTCCTGCCAGCTACATGCTCCGTTCAGGAGCGGGGCGGTTTAAGAGATGGGGTTGCTGAGCACTGTGAATTGTCATGGGCTGTAGAGAGATATAGTCGTCATCGCCCCAGATCCATGTGTGTGGATATTTGTGTTTTCTCGCTATCAAAATGCAGCATTTTTCATGTGGTACAGAGGGGCAGGGACCCTGCAGGCACAGAGTGAAGCAATGTGTGTGTTTTCCGCCAGTGTCGAGGAATGTGTGTGTGTTGAGGAACAGCAAAGCGGAGTGTTTGCCATTTGAAGCACAGAGTGATGATGTGTCCTCAGGAGAGGAGACATGCATGCCCCATGGGGCGCTGACTGAGGTGTGTGTCAGCTGCTGCAGAGTGATGCCACTTTTGGGTGTCATGGAGCAATGGGTGTATAGGGAAGCAGCCGAGTGCTCTGTCTGCTCCTCAGGGCAGGACCGAAATGATGCACTAGCAGGTGCTGGTGCAGAAGGATCTGTGTGTTTGCTGTGCTCAGGAGGTGCCGTATGTCGTAGGGAGCAGAGTGATATATGAGTTGGGGGTGCAGAGGGCTCTGAGTGTCGGGATGTAAGGCTAAGGTGGATCAAGGGCACTGAGCGATGTGTTTCTGCCAGCGGGTTGGGAGCATGTGGGAATGACGGCGCAGGGCAACTCAGAGATAAGGGACTGTTGTGCACTGCGTGCATTATCAGGCACAGTGATTTGTTCATAAAGCAGTGCAGAGCAATGTGCTTTCCTTCAGGAATGTGGTGATATGTGTGTAAATTGGTGGACAGTGATGTGAGTGGGTGGGAGGAGTGGGACGAGGCCTGCATCATAGGGAGGAGAGGGGTGTGTGTTTCAGGAAGCACAGAGTGATGGCAGCACCGTACGCAGGGCAATGTGTGCACCAGTGGTGAGGAGTGATGTGTGTGTCTGGAGGGTACACAATAATGTTTGCACTGGGGAGTGTAAATCCAATTTGTTTTTCGAGGTGCGCTGTCATTTTTGGGAACATAGAGCTATGTGTATGTTAGACACACAC